CCTGCAGAAGGGGATGTAAAACCTTCTCCCTGGTGTCTTTCCTCCCAGGATCATCCCTCACAGGCCCATCAAGGTGACTCTGTTCTGTTATTGACATTTTCTGGTAGAACTGTAGGAAGGGATCCCTAAGAACTCCAGGGCCTGTCCCCCAGAATCCTACTCTCCCCCTTTGGCAGGGGAAAAATGGGCAAGGGAGGCAAGGTCAGGTCCAGATAGGCAACCCAGAGCTCAGACCTGCCTGCCAAGGGCAGAGGAAATCAGATCCCTCCCTCCTCCCTCCCTCCTCTCCCATCTCCTTGGCTTGGACTGTAAGTGTGAGGTGAGGGATCTAGCAAGCCTCTGCTGTCAGCCCAGGCTACTCACAGGACTGATGATGTTCAGTGGGAACTGGGAGAGTTTATCATGTGGTGTGTCTAAATGCATAACACAACTCTGCCTGCCATCCTTCATGCTGTCCTTGGGCTTCCCAGAGCTTCCTTAATAGGCCTATGGCCCTCTGCTGGGCCACAGCTCAGCACTGTACAGTGACAGGGCCATAAACCCTGTGATGAATTTGCTTGAGACTGGTTGCAGTGGGAGCCGTCTTCTGTGCAGCCCGCGCCTGACCTCACTGCCTCTGCTTTTCACAGGTCAGATGCAGAAACCGTTTGAGGATGCATCGTTTGCTCTACGGACAGGGGAGATGAGTGGGCCAGTGTTCACGGATTCGGGCATCCATATCATCCTGCGCACAGAATGAGGGCAGGCACCTGGCCAGCCTGCTTGGGCTGCCAAGCAGCCCATGGTCGCCCCTTCCTGCTACTGTCACACAGTATTTATTGTTCCTGAAATGACTGGGAGGGGGACTCTGAGATGGGGACTCTAAGCATCCCGCTCACTGTTTGCTCCCAGTTGAGCCTGTCCTAGCCAAGCTCCTTCTGGAGGAATTGACTTCAGAAGGGCAATGGGGGTGGGGAGGCCCCCAGGCTCAGGGGATCAGAGGTGACCTGACCCCCCAGGTCCCAGAGTCAGGCAGGAGGGCCTTGTTTCTTGTTAGTTTTATGCTCTGTTCCTTTGTTCAGTTGCAAAAAACAGATGCTCCACACATGGTGATGCAGCAACTCAGCCTCAGGGTGCGATGTAGCGCCCCATGCACCTTCCATTAAATCTGGAACCACTGGTCGGTGGTCCTGTATGTCATTACCTCCCTGGTGAGGTGGGGCCCTTGTCTCAGGGAGGGAATTTTCACTCACCATGCCCAGGTATCCAAACTCTTACCCAGCCCTAAGAAGCCCCTTTTCCAGGGGCTGGGGATGCTGGCAGGAATTCTTCTCGCTAGCTAGATTCCCAGGACAGCAAGGTACTACCTCTAAGTCCAAACAGTCTAGACCCACTTGTGCCAAGAAGACCCCTGGGGTACAGACCAACCCTCTCCCCCCCACTTCCAGCTGTTACATCTAGATGGGTCCTGAGGGAACCTGGCTCAGCATCTGCCTTGGCACATTCCCATTCCACCCCCCAACCCACCCCCACACACGTACAGACTACTTATTGGTAAGAACATATCACATCCAGCATCTGCCACCCACTTCTGACTGGTTATTCCTGGGTTCATCCACCAGACCTAGCACCCTCCAGATGCTGTTGCCATGGCAACAGGCCCCCTCCAATGGAGGAAGGGGGGCCCTTTATCAGCTCCCAGAAGAACTGAGATCCTGGTAGAGGGAGCTGGGGAATGGATGTCGCTCTGAGTGCCAGGGGGAAGGAGGAGGGTACTCTTTCACCTTGGCTAGGACCCCCTTGTCTCCTATAACTGCCCCTGAGCCTAGTGTGGGCTTAGGGCTCAGAATTCAGTCAGGATTTCTATATACACCTGCAGATGAAGGGGGCCAGCCTAGGTTAAGGGGGTAGCTGCAACCAGCAAGGCTTGAGCACCAGCCCAGTATTAAGCCTGGACCCCAAGGGAGCCCTCCCTCCCCACAGGCCTGAGTCTCATGAACAGTCACCTGAGCCTGCTCCCATCTGGCTGCTTTCTAGAGCAATCGCTCTTGCCAGCTGCCTGCCGGAGCATTTGTCATTAGGAAGGTTTAATGAGTTTCTTTCCAGCTCAGGCGGGCACAGGCTGAGCTGAGTTGGCTATCCCTCCAGCAAAATGTTTTCCAATAGGCCAGTGAGAACCTAAGGCAAGCTTTGCTGTCTTGCAGCAGTTGAGTGGGCTTGGGAGGCAGTGGCAGCCCTTTAAGTATGATGAAGCCTTTTGGAGGAAGGAGAGGACCCCTATTCCATTGGTAACACCAAGAGCTCTGGAAGGATCTCCCCAGGACTGCTGCCGCATCTGAATCACTGCCTGCAAGAAGCAAATTGTTACCATGGTCAGTTTGTGCATCCTGTGAGTGGCCATGTGATGTGTTATTTGTGTTGTGTAGGATCTTGACCCTCTGGTCTGTCCTTTTGGACTCCAGCCAACCCCTTCTCCAGTCTGTACACTGGTGAAAACCCAAGACTGAACCTTGCTGTTAGATAAATGAGCCCCAGGAGCCCACTCAATATCCCCAACATGTATTATTAACTACCTGTGGTTTCCTTCACCTGCTCCAAGTTCCCACCCAGGCCTGCTACTGGGAACTAGCTATAAATCCTGGGCCTTTAGGATGACAACAGTGTAACAATACCCCCACCACCACACACACAAGGGATAGAAGCTTGTCTTTTGCAGACTCCACTGCTCATTCTTAATGGGCTCTTCTTAGACCAGACACAAGGGATTCTGGGTTATTGCTGCAATAGGGAATGGTAGCTTCCTGATTATAGCCAAATGCTCATCTATGATTTAGGGCAACTTGGTTAATTCAGCACCACATAACTGAAGAGAGACACAAATTAATCTGGCAGTGATGCCTGGTTGAGGAGGGTAGGACCAATTGCTCATCCTTTGTAGTTTGGTTGTGTGTGTTTGTACGTTAAGTGTATGTGCATTCAAGTGTGTGCATGTGTACATTGAATGTGCATATGTGGAAGAGTGACACTGTAGATGTGCTGCCAGATGCTCTAGCCCAAGTAAACTCAGTGCCCACACATGACAGACATGTTCACATCAGTCCTGTCTTTGTAGAAACCTGTCTCTAGGCACAAGTGTACTCTGGACAAAGGCTAGAACTCCATGGCCCTACGGTTGCAGCTTCATTCTCTGTGTCAGAGACCACGACCACTTTGAGCGTAAAAGTCACAGGCAGGACTTTTCCTCATTTCGGATTTTGAGACAAGGTCTAACCTGGGTGGCATCAGCCTCCTGAGAACTAGTATGCTGGTGGGTGCCTTCAAGCCAAGCCTTTGCTGTTTCAGTGGCATCAAGTCTGTCTCATGCTAATCCAGGACTTTATTTTTCCCCCAGTGTCACACTTGTTCACTTACGTGGGAATTAATTGCTCTTCGTGAGGATGCCTTTAGAAATTGCTTTTAAATGAGTGCATTAGGCAGCACCATTCATTATTCATGGGTTTCCTTCCCAATATGGCATCCAAGTCTGAGTTCCCGGAGATGATTTAATCACAGGGGCCATTAATTAGAGATGGGGACAGCAGCCTCCTGGTGGCCTCGCAGGGTGGGGCCAGGGCAGGTGGAGATATTCACATGATCCTGCTCTGCATTCGGTGGGCTGATGTGGGGGCCATTAATTAGAGATGGGGACAGCAGCCTCCTGGTGGCCTCGCAGGGTGGGGCCAGGGCAGGTGGAGATATTCACATGATCCTGCTCTGCATTCGGTGGGCTGATGTGGGGGATGGGAAGCAGCATGTGTCACTCAGTCACTACCCCACTCCAGATGAAACCCCTGCACATCGCTCACTGCCCCACGGAACTGAGCCGCATTTTGTTGTAACACCTTGGCCGGTGCCTCATCCTTCTACCCCCATGGTTCTCAACCTTTTTAATGCTGAGGCCTCTCTTGTTGTGAGCCCCCCCAGCCATAAAATTATTTTTGTTGCTACTTCATAACTGTAATTTTGTAACTATCATGAACTGTAAATATTTTTGGAGCTAAGAGATTTACAAGAAGGGCTGTGACGCGCAGGTTGAGGACACTGCTGTATCCTTATCCCCCAGACCTGGCTGACATGAATCCCTCATCATGCTGTGGCTCATTTGGTGCACTACTTGCCTAGCATGAATGAAGCTTTGGGGTCCACCCTGAGCATCATTACAAACCAGGCATGGTAGTGGAGGTAAGATCAGAAGGCTCAAAAGCTAAGGTCATCGTTGGCTACAGAAGCAAGTCTGTACTGCATGGGCCCATTTCCTAATTAAGCCTTTATTGTATTCCTGTACTGCTACCTCTTGGGAGCACCAGGCCTCTCTGCTGACTGCCTAACCCTGTCACTGCCCTCCCGTTACCTCGGTTTTTTGTTTTGTTTTCACATAGTGAATAGATCGCTATTATGGGAGAATGAGAAATAGCTGCCAGGTCAGGTTGCCTAAGGAGGAATGACCTGATGCCTCCATTTCAGTTCAGCTGCCTCCCAGGACCCCCCTCCCCACCACACCAGGCACATTTCTGTCCCAGCCTCTTATGGAGTGCAGTGGATTTGCCCAAAACCTGGCTGGGTGCACCTGTCAAGTGAGTTGAGTCTTGTGCACGAGCGTGGCTTGTGTAAAGATGATTTCTGCAGTTACAAAGCAGAGAAGAAATTGGGGGCCCTAACCTTTCTCAAAAGCAGCCAAATTGTTAAAAAGCCATTAGAAGAACTCCAGACAGCTCAGTGATGAGCCAGTGTGATCAATGAGAGCCAGCAATGCGGAATGTTCACGTAAGGCCAGTTTTCATCGCCAGAATAGAATTCTCTGTTGTTCTGATCCAATTGCTTTTAAATGACTTGCTTTTGATTGAAACACCTTTGGACTGGGTGGGCTTTTCATGGGGCTAGCGAGTCCGGGAAGAGCTGTTACAGGTTTCCACCTCAGGTCAGCACAAGCGCAGGGAACAAAGGGACTCAGGACTCGGTGGAGCCAACCACCACTGGGTAAAAACAGCCCAGACATCAAATGTTAAAGGTCCCGTTTATTCTGGCAACACGAAAGAAAATGTGTAAATAATAAATTCTTTTGTTAAAAAAAAAAAATCCATGCACTCAGATCCAGGGATAGGGTAAGAGTGAGGGATAAGGAATGTGGGCAACTGGGAGAGTAGGGAAGAGGAGGGAGACTGGATAGAGGGAAAGGAGAGAGATGCGATCAATAAGGAAGAGAAGTATCCATAAAAAGGCAGAGAGACAGAAGTAGAGTATCAAAAGCAGGGATCAACAAAACGGAGGAAAATGCATGGCTAGAGATACAGAGAACAGAAAGCTGGGCTGGGAACGTGGGGAGAGGAGGCCGAGGGGGTCACAGGCAGTGTGGGAAGGCCCCCCACAGCCCTTGCAGGGCACCTAGGGGTCCCCGGCAGTGCTGATGACATGGAAGAGGGTGACGTTGTAGAGCACCTGGTGCCCGTTGTTCCAGGTGTACAGGGCCCGCTCCCTGGGGTTGTAATCCAGCATGGAGATATGTGAGTACTGGTTGTGAAAGGGCACATCCGTGTACTCGTAGCTGGACGTGTTGGTGAAGTAGGCAAAGTAGACCTTGGCTCCGGCCAAGTGAGAGTTGGTTACATAGAGGACGCCGCAGATCATGAAGGCCTCACCGGCACTGCGCTTAGGGTACCCGGTGTCCCAGGACCTCACGACCTCCAGGCTGTGAGGGTCCAGCCGGCTGACCACGATGTTGCCCGCGTTCTGGTTGGTGGTGTACACTGCCCACAGCCCGCTCTCGTCTACCATGAAGTCCATGTCCGAGAAGCCGCCCCAGGAATACGGAAAGGTGTTGTTGTAACCAGCCCCAGGGAGGCTCCTCTGCACCAGCACCGAGCGCGACCGGAAGTGGTACTTGACCACCACATTGCTCTGGTACTTGTTGTAGAACAGAGAGCCGTTGTACACCACATGGCCCGTACCTGCCCACGGCTGAGGCAGCAGATGCTGGATGAAGTTCTGGCCTTTGATGAAGTCTCCCAGAGTACGAAACTCCAGCACTCGGCGGCCTTTGTAATAACCATCCATGTACCAGACCTGTGAGAGCAGCAGCCAGTCACTGGAGGGACTGTAACCTGGGACCCTCAGGGACTGGCCAACCAGGCGAGATCAGCCCTGGTCACCAGCAGTCAGCCACCAGCCTGTCACTCCTGCCTCAGTCCCTCCTATGACTTTTGTGACTGGTTGTACGTTAGTGACTGTGAGCATTTGTGGACTGGGAAGGTGGTTTCGGGGAGTAAAGTGCTTGCCACTCAAGCGTGAGGACCCGAGTTTGGACCCCCAGCACCCACGAAGGAAGCTGGGGGACTCAGAGACAGATCTTTGGAGCTCACTGACCAGCCAGCGTAGTCATATTGATGAGCTGCGTGTTCTGTGACAGACCCTGCCTTGGGGGTGGGAGGTGGGGTTTAGGAAGATGGTTCAGTGTGGAAGATCACCCTCTTTGCAAGCATAAACATTCAACATAAGGTTGAACCCAGAACCCATCCGAAAAGCTGGGCATGGCTCCATGTGCCTGTAACCCCAGTGCTTTTGGGAGCAGAGGCAGGAGGATCACTGGGGCTCGCTGGCTGCCAGCCTAGCCCCAGTGGAAGAACCTTTGTCGAGGGACTGAGGCTGGGAGTGATGAAGCAGAGCACCTGATGTCCTCCTCTGGCCACTGTGAGTGCACACCCCTGCACAAAAAAATGTGTACCTCACACACATGCTAAAAGGAAAAGAAAAGAGACGAGGTGGAGAGCAATAGAGAAAAACATGTTGACCTCTGGCTTCCACACACCCGAGCACACGCCTGCCTGTGCACATAGCTTTATGAACACACACAACAAAAAGACCCTAAATTAGTGGTGGCGATCTAAAGGATCAGCGAACATTTTGCCTCCAGAAGATCCAGCAGAGTCACAGACTGCCAACTATCTCTGCCTCCCGACTGCTGGAATTAAAGGGGTTTACCTGGCCCAAATTGTCAGTAGCTAACTCCTGTAAGCACAAAGTTGCCAGGCATGTCGTTGACTCTCTCAGCAGCATCATTATCAGCGCCATGTTAAAATGCCCTCGTTACTGAGCTAAGACTTAAGAACTTCAATGTTGAAGGACTACATTGAGGATAAGAAAATTAGAAGAATGATATTAAGGCACGTGCCCAAGTATCCCTGGCTAAGAATGGACAGGACTATTTAAATTCAAATCCAATTCCAAACTAACCAGTTGATTGTACCATCATCATTGGAGGTCAGCGATCATGATGGAGTGGTGTTGAGTCACTGCCTTGCTCTGCGACATTTGATCGCCCACTGTGATTGTCAGCTTTTTAAAGATTTATTTATTATGTATTTTGGGCTCTATCTGCTTATGCAGCAGCACACCAGAAAAGGTCACTGGATCCCATTACAGATGGTTCTGAGCCACCATGGGAATGGAACTCAGAACCTCTGGAATTGCAGCCAGTGCTCTTAACCACTGAACCATCTTTCTGGCCTACAATGGTTAACTTTAATGTCAGCTTGAAACAACAGAATTACCTAGGAAGTGAGTCTCAATGAGAGATTGCCTACACTGAGTTGGCCTGTGGGCATTTCTATAGGGGATTGTCTTGACTGTTCATTAATGTGGGAAGACCCAGCCCACCATGGGCAACACCATATCCTGGACAAGGAGTCCTGACTGATGAGATTGGAGAAACTGAACACAAGCAAACAAGAATGCATGCCTGCCCTTCTCCCTGTCTGACTGTGGCTGTGACTGACTAGCTGTGTGAAATTCCTCCCTTGACTTCTCTACAATAGCGGAACTGGGATTTAACCTGGGGTTGGATGTTAAACTAAGCCCCTTTCTTCCCTAAGTTGCTTTGCCAGAGTATTTTTACCAACCGCAGAGATGAACCAGGCAGAGGCCAGAGAAGGACACTGGGTGTCCCGCTGTATCATACCTTATTTCCTTGAGGTAGGGTCTCTGACTGAACCCGGAGCTGGCAGCCAGTGAGCTGCAGTGGTCTTCCTGTCTCTGCTCCACACAGCACTGAGGCGCGTGGCCTTTTCTGTGGGTACTGCGCACTCTTGCCCACTGTGCCAGCTCCCTCCCCAGCCCCATGCCGTCTTCATTGGTGCAAATGCTCTACGATGTCTGCACCATGACAAGGACTGCCCAGCAGTGCAGTTCTCAGAACGTCCCCCCCCGATATTAAACGATACATGAGTGGACCTTGCAACCGTGTCCTCTAGGCAGTAGACACACACTGGCGAGGGCAGAAGAGCCTCGGCTGCACAGTCATTAGGCAGTCAAGGGAAGGTCTGAGGACCCAGGGACTCAGAATGATGGGCTACCAGCTACTGCTGTGTGAGCTGGTGGGATTGCTCAGAGTTGGGTAAAAGTGCCTGCTTCCAAGCCTGACAACCTCAGTTCAATCCCCAAGACCCACATGGTGGAAGGAGGGAATTGACCCAAGCGAGTTGTCCTCTGACTTGACACACTGTGGTGCACGCATACGCACATATCTGTGCACACACACGTAAACACACAGACCCACTAAATAAATAAATAATGTGATTATAGAAAATTAAGTGGACTGGACATGGTGGCACACACCTTTGATCCCAGCACTCAAGAAGCAGAGACAGGCAGCTCTCTTGAGTTTGAGGCCAGCCTATTCTACGTAGTGAAACTCTTGTCTCCAAAGAAAAAAAAAATGTCAGCAGTTAAGGGTACTGATTGCTCTTGCAGAGGACCTGAGTTAAATCCCCAGCAATCGTATCAGGTGGCCCACAAACAGCTGTAACTCCAGCTCTATGGACGTCCAGTGCCCTTTTCTGGCCTTCACCTACAACTAAAAATGAAACCTAAATAAGAGTCACACGTGGGGACTGTCTGGCCACCCACAGGGAGTCACTGCCTCAGGCCTTTGGGGTTGGGATCACTCACCCGGCTGTCTGCACTGGGGGCCATTGTGTCAGTCATCCAGGAGCCGAATCGGGACCCCATGGCCCGAATGGTAATGGGGTTACTGACTCCTGTCAGCTTCCCACAGCCTGGGAGATGAGGACAGCAGGAGTGAGGATAAAATGCAGCAGGAGCTCAGGGGAGGCAAGCACGGGTTGCACTGGGAAGTACTGGGGGCCAAGGGTCAGGGAGGGAACCTCGGTGTGATCTGGGGACGTCAACATACACATAAAGACTTGGAAATCAGGAGCCAAGGCCACTTCCAGCTGTGAGGCCTGCTGTGGCCTTGGGTTGGGGAGACCAAAGGGAGCTTTGGCAGTTAGATGCCAAACCATGCCTAGCTTTGGAGCACATGGTAACATTAGGGTTGGGTGTGGAGATCAGGGGCCAAGCTTCAGGGTCAAGACATACCCAGCTTCTGAGCACAGGCATGGAGTCGGGCCTCCAGGGCCATCACACGCTGCTGCAGGTCTTCGTACCCATAGGCACCCATTTCCTCTTGAATGGCAGCCAGGTTGCTGGAGAGATTTCTCACCTCCTCCCGTAGGCGCACAATGGTCCGTGTGTCTGCCTTGTACTGCTCCAGCACCGAGCTCAGGGGCAGCAGCTCTGTCATCCTGTCCTTCAGTTCCTGCTCACCAGGAGAGAATGGACACCAATCTGACCCCTGACCCTTGACTTTTGACCCTTACCCTCACCCTCTCATCTTGGATGCAACACTCGGCCCTTGCCAAAGGATGCCTTTCCCTTCTGGACCCCAGAGCCCAGCCAACCACTCATTTCTTTCTAGACATGACCCCACCCTTGGAATTCAGGTCCTCTTGCTTTCACAGCACACACTTTTACCTCAGCACCTTCCCAAGTGCCTCTAACCAGTCTCTTGACTTTTGAATTGAGCTCAGAAGAACCCACCTGGAAGCTTTTGGCTGAGACTGACCCATCGGCTGCCCTGAGCCTGGCATCCAGGCTCCGCATGAGAGTCTCCATGCTGCGAACATACTGGAGATCCCGATACGTCCTGAGCTCAAGGACCTCCATGGACTGGGACACATTCTGGACCTAGAAGGAGAACCATTCAGGAGACAAGCTCCTCCTCCCAGCCACTCACGGAAACAGAGGCAGGCAGGACCAGCATAGATGCCGGGCAGCCCTCCTCCCCCCTGATCTCACTGGTAACCTTCCAATAGCAGGTTCATCCCCTCACACCTGTCACCTGTTCCCTGAGTCCTGGCTTCCACCATCCTGACCTGCAGTAAGTTCTTGACACAGCTAGGCAGAGGGTGCTTTCCAAAGTGAAGATCAGAGCCAGGTGTGGTAGCACATGCCGTGATCCCAGCACTTGGAGGTGTAAACCAAAGCATCAGAATTTCAAGAGTAACCTCAAAAGAAGGAGCTAGGCTGGGCAGTGGTGGCGCACCCTCTAATCCCAGCACTTGGGAGGCAGAGGCAGGTGGCGCTCCGTAAGTTTGAAGCCAGCCTGGTCTACAGAGCGATTTCCAAGACAGCCAGGACTACAAAGAGAAGCCCTGTCCTGAAAAACCAAAAGGAGCCAGGAGTGGTGGGTCACAGTTGTAATCCCAGCACTCAGGCTAAAGCAGGAGGAGCGCCATTACTTCCAGCCCAGCCAACGATGCAGAGCGAGTTCCAGGTCAGTCTGGATCAGAGTGTAACCTTGCCTCTAACACAAAAGGCAGTAATGGGAGGGTTCTGGAGCTTTGGCTCCGTTCTGAGACAGTTTGTCTGGAGTGTACAAAGCCCTGGATCCCTCCCCAGCATAAGCTGGGTGTTCACACTTGTAATGTGATTCTGGTTCCACTTGGGAAGTGGAGCCAGGAGGATTCAAAGCTCAGCGTCGTCTTTGGATACACAGTGAGTTCAAAAGCAGCCTAGGCTATACAAGACCCAGAGGTACACATCACACATTCACGCCATGAACTATGTTTTTCAGCCACTGTGAACAATCAAAGGGCACTATGTGAAAGTCCACAGCTTTGGGGGAAAGCAGTCCCAGCAGGGGGAGTGGGCAGAGCAGGGTTCTGAGAGTCGGTGTGTGAGGGGGAGGGGGTGCAGGTACCAGGTGCTCCTCTCTGCCAAGTCTCAGCTTCCTCCTCTGCTCAGTGAGGGGAGTGGCTGCAGGTACCACAGCTGACAAATGGGCAGTGACAGGCACTTCGTCATCAAACAGAGGGTCCAAAACATCCTGGGGACAGATGAAGTAGAGGCAGCCAGGAAAGGAATCTGTGTGTGTGTGTGTTTGTGCGTGCCTGGGTGTGTGCATGTGTATGGATTCATGTATATGTGAGTGTGCTTGTTCATGTGCATGTATTTCTGTGTATCTAAGTGTGCATATCTATCTGTATAGCTAGGTATGTATGTATGTGTGTAGACATGTCTATACGTAAATGTGCATATGTGTGTGCATACATATTTATGTATGCATTTATGTATTTGTGTGCATAAACATTAAGTACATAAGTGTGTATATTGTTTGGTTGTATTCATTCATACCTATTTGTATGTGTAAGTGTGTATATGTGTGTGCATACGTATCTGCGTGTGTCTGGAGGTCAGACATTGATGTTGGTTGTTTTCCACCTTATTTTTTGAGGCAGGGTCACCAAACCTGGAGCTCCTACATCAGCCAGATTGGTTTAAGTGTGTGTCAGTCAGAGGACAACTTGTCAGAGTTCATTCGCTCTTCTAACTGTGTGGGACCTGGGGACTGACTTAGGTCATCAGGCTTGGTGGCAACTCCCCACCCCTCCCCACCTCCCATCCAACAGGGTCTTCCTAAGTAGCCCAGGCAGGCCTCAAATTTGTGGCAGTTATTCTGCCTCAGCCTCCAAAGTCCTGGCATTACAGATGTGCAGAATCTTTGCATGAGCCTTGGCAGTACAGTACAGGTGAGACCCTTGCCTGAAAAGGAGGGTAATTACCCAAGGCTGCCTGGAGCTCTGGCTCGCAGGCCTGAGTTCTCAAGAAGAAACTCAGATGATGCCCCTGACACTACAGCCTTCCCTGTACTACAAGCTTGTGAATTTTCGTCTTTGGAAACCTCAAACAAATAGTGAATGAAGGAATTCACCTGAAGACAAAAGTGGACACATATCTGTCATCCCAACACTCTGAAGACAGAGGCAGGAGGATCAGAAATTCAAAGCTTTGGCTCTATGACATCGTGAGTTTGAGGACAGCCTGGGCTACATGATACTATCTCAAAAAAGAAGGCAAGCCAGGCATGATGGTGCATGTTCTTTGTCCCAGGACTAGAGAAGAGGCAAGTAGATCTCTGTGAGTCTGAGGCTAGCCTGGTTCACATATCAAGTTCCAGGCCAGCCAGAGCTTCACAGTGAGACCCTGTCTCAAAACAAACAAAGCAAGAGCAATAAAAAAAAGAAAGGTGCCTTTAACCTCAATACTGAGAAGACAGAGGCAGGTAGATCTCTGAATTCAAGGCCAGCCTTATCTAGAGAATGAGTTCCAGGACAGTCAGGACTACACTGAGACCCTGTCTCAAAAACAAAAACAAAACAAAAAAAACAACAAAGAAAATTAAATATTTAATGTAAATTAAAAAGCAAATAAATGAAAAAAAATCTATCTAGATGGGATCTCAGTCATTGGCCACTCCTAGAACAATCCACCTGGCTGGATCTTCTGTGTTTTAGCCTATGAGGAGACATGTGTAGTGGGAACCAAGAGGGCATCTCAGCCTTCCACCAGTGCCTGCCGGGTCCCTACCTTCTCCATGAGCTGCCGAAGCTCTCTGCTCCGCCCATCTCGGGCACAGGTGCTCTGTGCAGGGATCACAGCTGTGCAGATGCATTTGCCATCCGGCGCCTGGGCTGAGGTATAAAGCTGCCAGCCCTCTTCCGGGCTCTGGAAGAGAGTCTGCAGAGGAAAGGGTACAGTCAGAGAGTAGGAACCCAACATCTTGCTGAGAAGGACAGAAGCCCTTTGCTGGGGAGATGACATGCACAAGGACCTCAGTTCAGATCTGCTGTAGAGCTCATGAGAAAATGGACAGAGACTGGCTGAGCCCTGGATGCTCTCTAGCAACAAATGGACAACTTTGTAGGCCAATGAGAGGCTCTGTCTCCAGCAGAAGGTGGGAAGTGGCTGAGGAACATCACAAGCTGAGGTTTTCCTCTGATCTCCGCACACGTGCCCACATACATTACCAGCACACACACACACAAAGAGATGGCTCGAGAGCTAAAGCACTGATCATACAACTGTGAGAACCTGAGTTTGGTTCCCCACATAAACCAGACATGGGAGACCGTATCTGTAATCTGAACACTATTCCGTCAAGGTGGAAGGAGCAGTCAGGAAAATCCCCGGATGCTCTTGGAGCTGCTAGCCTGGCTTACACAGGAATGAAAAGGACACTGTCTCAAACAAGGTGGACAGTGGGGACTAACACCCAAGATCATCTTTGGACTGCCACATTTATGTTGTGTCTCATGAGCCCCTTAGGCTGGCCTTGAACTAACTATATGGCTGAAGGTAACCTTGAACTTGTGATCCATCTACCTTAACCTCTTGAGTGTTAGGATTGCAGGAGTTTAACACCACCTCTGTGAATTTATATGCTTGGAATGGAACCCAGGGCCTCCCGCACGACAGGCCAACACTCTGCCTACTGAGCCCCAGCCCCAGGAGGAGAAACTCAGCACATTAAATCTCAATGTGCAAAGGGACCTAAGCCACTGAAAAAGCAATGACTTTGAGCTGGGTAGTGCAGTACTACATGCCGGTAAACCCAGCGCTTGGGGCTGAGGCAGGAGGATCATAAGTTGGAGGCCTGCTGGGACTGCCTAGAGAGACCTTTCTTCAGTGTGGTGCCGTGGTGCATTCCTGTACTCCAAGCTACGTGGGAGGCTGAAGCAGGAGGATTGCCGAAATGCCGGAGTTCTGTGCTGGACCCACAGTAAATTCAAATCAATGCAGTGATCTTCCAGTCATGCTTAAGAAAACCCTGTTTCGGAAGAAAAACTGTAGAGTGGAGGGAAACAGATCTTGTTTGTTTGTTTGTTTGTTTGTTTCATTACAAGATTTCTCTGTGTAGCACTGGCTGACCCGGAACTCACTCTGTAGTCCAGGCTGGCCTCGAACTTAGAGATCTGCCTGCCTCTGCCTCCTACTGCTACGTCATCACCAACAGGCCTGGAAACATCTTAAAGAGCAAACATCAGGATCAGAGGAGATGGCTCCGTGGGCAAAGTGCTTGCTGCATAAGCAGGAGGAGCCAAGTTCGGATCCCCAGCACCTACATAAAAGACCACGGTTGGTGGTGCAAGTTACAGGAGGATCTGTCTAGCTAGCCCGGCCTCCTTGGTGAGCCTCAGGCTAGTGGGAGACCTATGTCAAAGCAGATGAGTGGCTCCTGGAGAAGATGCCTGACATGGTCCTTTGTTCTCCACACGCATGTGCCCACATGTGCCTGTTGCATATGCCCGTGTGCAGCCACACACATAGACATGTTAGTGAAGATCAGATATTTAAAACTCTTGAGCAGCGTAGAAAGAAGAAACACAGAGAAAGCAGGACGGGAAGAGCAAGTGCCATTCAGGGTGTGACTTCAGGTGCCATTTGGGTGTAGACTGGGAGGAGATGAGGGGGCCGGTGTGTGTATGGAAAGATGCTCCAGGCAGGAGGAACAGCAACGGCAAAGCCTGAGACGGGGTGGCGTACCTGGGTACGTGAGCAAGGCTCTAAGTGAAGGGAGGCAAGATGGGGAAGTGACAAGTGTGTTAGTGAAGGAGCTGGTGAGCATCAGCCAGGATGGTGGCTTCCGGTCTGAGTGAGGTGGGAGCCATGGAGGAGTCTAAGCAGAAGAGAGATGTGCACTGGCTTAGGTCCTCACGGTAGACAGAGCACAGCTCAGAGCGGCTGCTCAGATCCAGGCAAACGGCAGCAAGTAGTGGCCACGAGCAGGAGGATGGGGAATGCTGGTTCTGTCTAGCGTACTTGCTTTTGTTTCGAGACAGGAGCTCATGTAACCCATGCTGGCCTCGAACTCCCAGCTGTAGCGGAGGGTGATGTGAAATCCTGATCCTCCTGCCTCCCAGTCCTGAGCTCTAGGCTGCCAGTCAGTCATCCACCCCTACTCTCAATTCAAGCAGTGCTGAGGGAGGAATCCAGGCCTCTGAGCATGCCGGGCAAGCACTCTATCCACTGAGCCCAGCCCTGCCCATAGCGCATTCTGCCACACACAGCAGCACCAAATGCATCATTTGCGTGGCTGTTACTGATCCGGAACAGAGGCAGCGCCGGGAGCTGAGGCAGAGGTAAGCCAGGCCGAGTCAGGAGCGGTGATGAGGACCCCCTGCTGCACAGTGCCTTCTCTTCCCTCTCAATAAATTCTCTTATTGAAATGTGAGCAGTGAGCTAACTACACAGTGAGCTCCACTCCTCCACTAATTTATAAGAAAAATAACCCATTCACAGACGACAGCCGAGAACATGGTAATGAGTCAGGCTGTGCTTCCATAAACCCCAGCTAAATTGGGGGAACACCTTCTGTAAGAGCCTACACAACTTCCCTCAGACGAACTCTCCTTCCCAACCTTTTGTTTGGTTTTACAAATCACACTTATTTATAGTGTGTCTGCGTGTGTGCGTGGGGGGGGCAAGTGTGTGCCACAGACTGCGTGTGGAAGCCAGAGGTCAACTCGCAGAAGTTGGTTCTCTGTTTCCACGATGTGATTCCCAGGAGTGGAACTCAGGTCATCGGGTTTGGTAGCAAATCTCTACCCGCTGAGCCATCTCACCTACTGACCTTCTTACTCTTCCTTGCATACAGAATTAGGCAGAGCTAAGGCTACATACAACAGAAGCCAATGAGACATCCTCCCTCAGGGTTGACAGATAATGAATGGTTGCTCGGGGAGGGGCTAATGAGGCTACAACCATCTCGGAGGGTTGATGGTAGCTGGGAAGGAGGCTAGACGTTCTATACCTGCCTTAGGATTAACAGGCAGGAATGGTTGCTGGGGAGGAGGAGACATTTCTTCAATGGTGTGGCCACTGGTAAGGAGCCCACAGCCCTGTGAACAGCCCCTCACCACTCTTTGTAAGCAGCCCTCACTGGGTCACAAAAGAAAGAAAGATGGGAAGGAAGGAAGGAAGGAAGGAAGGAAGGAAGGAGGGAGGGAGGGAGGGAGGGAGGGAGGGAGGGAAAAAAGGAAGGAAGGAAGGAAGGAAGGAAGGAAGGAAGGAAGGAAGGAAGGAGGAAAACAAGACAAAGAAAAAGACATGAAAGTAGAAGGGCTTGTTGGGAAAGGGGAGGGGTTGGCAGGAGTGGGAGGGGACAAGAGAGGTGGATGAAATGAATATTATTAAAGTACATCATGTGTGTTATGAAAATGTCATAACCATTACTATTTTATTTAGTTAGTTATTGAATGTATGTGAGTGCTCTATTTGCATGTGCGCCTGCCTGCCAGAAGAAGGCATTAAATCATATTATGGATGGTTATGAGCCACCATGTGGTTGCTGGGAATTGAACTCAGGACCTCTGAAAACACAGACAGTGCTCTTAACTTTGGAGCCATCTCTCCAGCCCCCGTCATAACCTTCATTATGTACATTGTACTAATAAGAACTTAAAGAAAGATGTAGCACCATGTATGCCCCACTTAGGACTCTCAACGCTGTCTACTCCATCTGTGTATTCAGGAAGACCCTCCTAAGTCCTCTAGCATCGCCAGGTCCTGGTGAGTCATGCCTCTCCTGGGCAAGAATTCTTGTTTCATTTGTATGGGTATTTTTGCCTGTGTCTGTATGTTTTTAGTCCCCTGGAGATGCAGTTACAGACAGCTATGAGCTGCCAGGTGGGTGCTGGAAATCGAACCAAGGCCTTTTAAAAGAACAACAGCCAATGCTCTTAGTCACCGGGCCGACTCTCCAGTTTTGTTGGTTGGTTGGTTGGTTGGTTGGTTGGTTGGTTGGTTGGTTGGTTGGTTTAGTGTGGTCTGGTTTTGGTTTATCCAGACAGTTTCTCTGTGTAATAGCCTTGGCTGTCCTGTAACTTGCTTTGTTCATCAGGCTGGCCTTGAACTCACAGAGATCCAACTGCCTCTGCTTCTTAAGTGCTGGGATTAAATGAGAATGCCAGCACGCCTAGGTACCTATGGAAGAACTCGATTATTTTTTTTAATTTAGTTTTGTTTGTTTTGAGACAGGATTTCATGTAGCCCAGGCCGGCCTCAAACACACTATGTTAGCCAAGGAGGACGTGGGTCTGATACTTCTGCCACCACCACCCCGGGGGAAGGGGGTTTCGATGACAGCCAAGTACTACCATGGCTGGTTTCAGCTAGAGAACTCCTGACTACTCCAGGAAACTTTACAGAGCCTGGAGGGCAGGGCCAGGGCCGCTGGGTTGCTCATCAGCCCTGGGTACAAGGGCTTATTTTTCTGCACCCCAACAAATGCTTCCAGTAAACAAAACTGCTCCACACCACATCAGTTTCAAGGGTGCCTGGGTACCTGGGCACTGCACTGGGTAAGGCCGAGTATGGGGGCCCATGTTTCGCCTCCTCCTATGGCCACGCACTACATGCACGCCTAGAGAGATCAGAAGAGGGCATAGGATCCCACAGAACTGTTGCAGTTGTGAGCTGCCATGTGGGTGCTGGGAATTGAACCCAGGTCGTCAGAAGAGCAGCCAGTGCTCTTAACTGCTGAACCATCTGTGCAAGCTCTTTTGACTTTTTCTTTGAGGCAGAGTCTCTCTAAGGTGCCCAGGCTGGTCTTGTACTCGCCCTGTAGCCAGATAGCTGGTATTATAGGCTTAGTCCATTAGGAGTTGAACCTAACACCGGGAAAATGATGCACAAACGCTTCCCCTTGCTCCCTGAGAAAGCACTATTGCTTTCAGAAC